GTTTTGGAATCTTGGCACCTGCATGTAGGTAAGGATGTATATAAATTAAGTGGTTTGAGAAGAAGACGCTGGGATTGGCCCATTCAATTCTCCAGGGTGTTCCACCCAACATAGACTCCAAACATGTAACCCTGTCAAGGCAGCCACATGTGTTCCACCAGTCAGAGTATTGGTGAGCGCAAACGTGAGACATTCAGTGAACGACCATGTTATTATGTGCGTTTGCAGGACATTCCTCGCTGGTATTATATAGCGTTTCAAGACATCAACCCAGATCCCGCCGAATCTTCCTGCAGAAAGAGCCCCAAGCCGATCCTCCACGCATCACGATAGACCTCCCCTTGATCTCCGGAAACATCACCTCCGGTGGAAGCCCCCGCGGCGAGCTCCGCCGCCGAGCTCAGCGGCTGAGCTCATCAGGCTTGGACGCCGTGCTGGCCGACCCAGCGCTGCGACCAAGCCTACGGCAGCTGGACGTGCCGCTGCCCGGGGGGCGAGGCAAGCGAACCGGTCAGCGGTGGAACCGGGTGGAGAGCGGAGGGCAAGGAGGGTTGCATCGAAAAAGTTTTGATGAACACAATTGACTTTGGGACTGAAGGTGGACAGGTATGCAATTATGTTGTTTATTGTGTGTTTGTTTTTTTTTGCCGGGATCTTGTGATTCTCGAAATTATGACAGCAAATTTTGGGCAAGGCATTTAAGCTAAGGCTATGACAATTGTTTTGATGCTCGTCGGCACAACCGCTGACGCAAGGAACACCATGGTGCGCACAGCGTGATCAGAAAGAAATAATAAACCGCTGGTCCTGGTATAGGTATAGATTCGATGGAATGTCCTGCAAACACATAACAATGACCCCTGTTCAACTGTTTCAGTTGGCTGTGCTTGGTTCAATCCATCGGTGGTGCATAGTGACATAGTGCCAGCAGCCGAGCCAAATGGCGGGCGTAAAGCCATATACCTGAATCTTCCTAGGGCTGCACTTTTTGCGCCTCCAACCCAGAAGGCGCCTCTAGGAACTGAGAGGCGATTTTTTTTGCAAGAGGCGATTCTTGTTTTACATAGATTTCTCCCCAGTTATGTTGATAGAACATATGATAACCGTGATAACAATGAAACTTATACACTTAACATATAGGAAAAACCACCACAAACCCCGAACCATGAACCAAAACATAAGTTATATGCATTCAAAAGGTTCAAGCATGATAAAAACGTGAAACACATGAAGGCATGATAACTCACTGTGGAAAAGTGAGCGCATACAACATTATATATGAACTGCTAATTTTCCACTTGGATTGGCCTGCGAAAAATGACCCCCACAAGTCCGGCTTTCCCCTTCAAAACCTGCATGTCAGGCAAGTCGAACCGGACTTGTGGGGGTCTTTTTTGCATGGAAAATTGCAAATATGAACATGATATCGCGCAATTTGATAAACACACATGAAAACATGAAACACATGAAAGCCACATAGAAAAACTGAAACATATGAAAAACATGAAACATATGAAAGCTACATTAAAAACATGAAAGCACAGGAGAGCAACATGAAAAAAAATAACACATGAAATATATGAAACAAACACAACATACACGAAAAACATGAAAGCACATCAAAAACATGAAACATATGCAAAAACATGAAACCCGTGAAACAATGAGAGGCGGAACTTCCCGGGTAAGAGGCGGAACTTCCCGGCATCTGGGTCCGTATTGTTATATAGTTTGTTATAGTATTGTGATAGTTTGTCATGTGTCCATCGATATAGTCTTGTTAGAAGCTCGCGAGATTTCTCACAGAGAGCTAGCCAAAGTCAAAAAGTATAGTCTTTGTTATAGTTGTTTCCCTTATCCCAGACACAACCCAATGGGACTGTCATATAGGACTGCCGCCCCATTGACACCGACTTCAACCACCCCAACTGATCGGTCAATATATATATATATACCAGTCCCATGGAGTGTCTGGGAAAGATTAATTACTTAAGACATCTCGTCTCCTTCTGCCGACTCTTACTCACCCTTCTTAGTGTTCCTCATGCATCTATTGATATCCCAAACGCTCCAAATAGCTTTTGGTGCCTCAAAACCTATGGATTTGACACCCCAAACCCCTCTGAGTGGCGTGTGGGAATCCCGAAAAGCTCCCTGAAAGAAAGCTGCAACACCTTATCATTATAGAGCAATACCTACCTTAAACCTCCGGCGGTTGCTTTTCTCAGCCTCTTAGCAGAGAGGCTCAAATGTTAGCCCCTCCATTCAAGAGTTGCCGCTTAGAACAAAAACTGCCTCTCGTGCTTTTCTGGTAGAAGGGAATCTTGTAATTTGTAATGATTTTGGTGGTCTTCCGCTGCTGCTGCCGACAGCTATCAACATGATAAAAGATTATCGGTCAAACCCAAGCAAACAGAGTTTCATCATGCTTGCTAGCAACTGCGTCCAAACCCAAACCAGCCGTTTGAGTTTCATCATCAGGCAAGACGTAACTCTCCAAGGTGTTTGGGGTTTGGAGGTCTTTCAAGGCAGAGTTCATAGGAGTAGGCAGTTGCTGGATTTGCAACCTGAGCGCCTGCAACCGGCAGAAAACAAAGCTAAAATGTTTAGCCAGGAAATGTTCAGACCAAAACACTGACTAGAGGTGAGTATCAATACCTATATATAGAAACGAACAGCCCCACCTGCGGTTGTTGCAGCTCTGACATCAGGGTTGCATCGTCACCATCAAGTTTGTCCACATATTTCTCTTCTTTCACTAACGTCAAACCAGCCATCAGGGTCGAACTCGAAAAGACACGGGACGGAAGCTGATACGCCATTTCCCCTTTCGATTAGAGACGAGCCTGAAAGCGGCAACCAGTCGACTTAATTAAAGACTATGCCAAAAATTCATAACCTGGGCATTCTGCCTCTGAGTTCGGTTTCATCGGTCGGACCTCGGACACCGCTGGTTTCAGGGCGAAAGCGGTACGGAGTCGGTGCCGATGTTGGGTTTCGCCGGGATTCGGTGCAGCGAGATCGTTGGGTGGTAAGGTTGATAGGGAGACCACCCAAATAGGTTGGGTTTTGGTCTATTTTCTTCCTTGTCCTTGCTGGTATTTTGGAGGTCTCTAAAGGCTATCGAGCGGCAGTCTTGCAACTCTTTCTGTGTGCAGCATGATGCTTTCTGAACCTTTGGTACAGAGGCCTGTGGTCATTTCGGAGAGGTTCCCAAATCCGAAGGGTCAAGAGGTCTTGGACCAGGACCAAGCTGTGATTGGGAAGCTGCTTAGGCAGGATCCAGCTAGAATGATGAAAAACGTACCTTTATTTACTAGGAGCAAGAACGCTACTAGGGGCTGCTGGCATCGCTACTAGGAGCGATCGGACGCTACGTTCGGGGCTCCTGGCATAGCGTCCGATCGCTCCGTTCAAGTCACGATGCCAGAGGCCCCGATCGTAGCTTCCTTGTTACTTTTTCAAGGGAAACTGAGGGAGTCGTAGCCATGCTCGCTTCTTCGTTGGCCGTTACAGGCGCTGAGCCGAGCATGGCCGAAGCCTTCGCGCCAACGGAGGTGCACCACAGACTGCACGAGCAGGGAGGAGACGGGGGAAAGGCATAAGTAATTGCAGTTCGGAAGACGAGTGATGAACACATATATTCTAATACCTAGACACTCTATGTATGCCATATTTGCATTGACCCCTGAAACCACCCCAATGTAGGCATATATGGCAGTCCCATGGAGTGTTTGGGACATACATTTAACACATGTGCAGCTTCAGAGATCTGGTCTTTTGTTGAGTTTGTCGGCGCTTGAACTTTCCGCTGCAATGGCTTTCTGGCTTGTTTTTTGGCCCTCCATGTAGTATGGCAGCGCGGGGTTCTGCCAAAGTGATGCGGAGGTTTCTGGGCAATCCACATGTATAAGGACCTTTTTCAGTCCGGGCATTCGTGTGGGACACTTTCCTCCAAAAGACACAGGTCAATCCTTCATTCATATCTAGGTGTCAGTGTGTAGCTCAAATAGGGAGACTTCTCAGTTCGAACCCCCTGGAAGAAGGAATGTAGACCAAAACCCATTGGGCCATGGGGGTTTGTCTATTAAAATGCACACCCATAGCCGTATATACCATGTGGTTTGGTCATTGGCGATGTGGTTTTTTTGACTCGCCTTCACGGTTAGATGCAGAGAGTCCTTTCTTTCTTTGCAAATGGTCGTTGGTGTCCACAAGCACTTGCAGCATTCAGCACTTCAGATTTCATACCACTCATGGATGATGTGGTGTGCTTCTTTTGGGAGGATGAAAAGAAACCCCTTAAGGGGCAAGTGGATGAACATGTCATACCCAGACACTCCATGTATTGAATATCCATATAGTCCATATACATGTGCCATATAGTCCATATACACGGCATATAGTCTATACATGGAGTGTTTGGTATATGGTCGCAAATGGGTCTTTGGTGCTTCAAATGCCCAAGAATAGCAGGTCTTTGAGCCGCTGAGCCGGTGTTCTGGTCATGGCTGACAACTCTTGTATCAGCAACCAGATTTGATGTTCAATACTGTAAGACAAATACTTATAAAGTTTGGAACAACATAGTTTCTCCCCGGTTTGATGATGTTCTAAGTGGCTGTTTGCACGTATAGTGACAATGCTTGATTTGTGGATCGCTGTTGGCACAAATTCCAATTCCCAGCTGAAGCGCCTGTGGACGATGCTGCCATGTTCTCAACTCGTCCTCGCGTGGACTGGCCGCAGCCACCCCTAACTGGTAGCCGCGTGTGGAGGCCGTCGCCTGTGCAGTGTATGCCAGTAGTAACAAGAAGCTACCAGGTGGAGGCCATCGCTATTAGGTTGGAGGCCATGACTACTAGTAGCAAGAAGCTACTAGGAGGCCATCACTATTAGTAACTCCAGTTTCGACCTATGGGACAGCGAGACGCCCAGTTCACCACTTCGACCAGCCAAGGTCCAGAGCGTTCCGTTGGGCGGATGCAGAAGTCGAGAGGATGGCCGGTGAAGACAGATGCGATGCCGGCGTCGCGAGCGCTTCGTTGCGGGAGATGTGCCAAAGATGGAGTGAAAGAGACTTGGGATGTTTCAGATTTGGGTAGATTTGTGTCGATTCACCTCCGGAGTGAATTGGATGGAGTGAATCTGAAGATTTGGGGTAGATGGAGTGAAACTCTACTAACTAGAGTTTGGGTAGACTTGCCGACTTGGTGGTCGTAGCTAGTTGTTCCATGGGCTTGGTTTGCTTGGTTTGCAGCGGTGCTTCTCGTTTGGAATGTTGGTATTTGGACCCAAAGTGACTGGATAAAGAGCTTTGTCGTATAATTTACCCCTTCTTGGAAAGACTGGCTTCGGTTTTTTTTTGATTAAAGACCTTGTGGAACAACTGGAAGGAACTCTTAAAGAGGTTGTCTTGCCGAAGGTGAGGCGATCACGGGAGACGCTTCAGCAAATCATGAGGATTTGGCGCAAGCAAAAGCGTGCTGATCTGGTCTTTGCTACCTTGGAGGTACTTAGAAAAGATGGCAACATCAAAGTTGAGGCACCTGTTTATACTGTGGGAATTTCCACCTGTGCTGACGCGAAACAATGGCAGAGAGCATTGAAGCTGCTGGAGGCTATGCAGAAGGCTGAGATTCAGGCAAATTGTTTCAGCTATAACGCGACCATCAGTGCTTGCGAGAAGGGCGCACAATGGGACCAAGCTTTGGTTTTGCTCGAATCCATGGGCCACATGAAAGTCCGTCGTGATGTTGTCAGCTACAACGCAGCTATCAGTGCCTGTGAAAAGAGCGGGCAATGGCAGCAAGCGCTGATTTTGCTTGAGGCCATGCCCCAGTCGCAAGTTCGGAGGGATATCATCAGCTACAATGCCAGCATCAGTGCTTGCGAGAAGGGCGGGCAATGGCGGCAAGCATTGATGGTGTTCCATGGCATGCTTCAGGCTCAGTTGCAACCAGATGTAATCAGCTGCAGTGCAGCCATCAGTGCCTGCGAGAAAGGTGGCCAATGGCAGCAAGGATTCATATTGTTTGAGTCTATGCCCAAGGCAGAAATTAAGCCGGACGTCATTTTCTACAGCGCAGCCATTAGTGCATGCGAAAAAGGCTGTGCGTGGCAGCAAGGATTAATGTTGTTTGAAGCTATGTCCAATGACAATGTTCAGCCAGATGTATTCAGTTACAATGCGGCCATCAGTTCCTGTGAGAAGGCTGGACAATGGCAACAAGCATTGAGGTTGATTGAATTTATTGCCCGGGCTGAAGTTCAGCCAACTGACTGCAGCTTCAATGCAGGCATCAGTGCTTGTGAGAAGTGCGGGCAATGGCAGCAAGCATTATTGTTGTTTGAATCCATGCTCAATACAGAGGTGCAGGCTGATGTCATAAGCTACAATGCAGCCATCAGTGCTTGTGAGAAGGGCGGGCAATGGCAACAAGCATTGATGTTGTTTGATGCTATGCCAATGGCAAAGGTTAAGCCACACGTTATCAGCTACAGTGCGGCCATCAGTGCCTGTGAGAGGGCTGGGCAATGGTGGCAAGCATTAGCCTTTTTTCAAGCCATGCCCAAGGCCAAAGTTCAACCAAATGACATCAGCTACAATGCGGCCATCAGTGCTTGTGTCAAGGGCACACAATGGGAGCAAGCACTGATGTTATTTGAAGCCATGAATAAAGCTACAGTTTCAGCTGATGTCATTAGCTACACTGCAGCCATTAGTGCCTGCAAAAGGGGTGGGCGGTGGCTACATATATTGATGTTGCTTGAGTCAATGGCAGCGATGATGCTTCTGGACATGTGTTCCTGTTTAGATGAATCATGAAAGCTGACCATCCCCCTTTGAAGACCACTTTCCCAATCATTCAGACTCCACCGACTTCCCGAAGTCCTCCACCTCCGCCTCGAGCAACGTTCGACTTTGGAAGACTTCACCGTCCGTTCATGGATTGCCTTGGTAATGCATTGATCCCGAGCAAGAGATGAAGCTGGGTCGGATTTTTGGTGTTAGACATGATCGCTGGATGAAGGAGACAGGTAGCAGCGCTACAACAAACCAAGGGCTGGATGAATGAGACCAAGATACAGCTGCGCTTCCGGAGAATCTCGATGATCGAGATTCTCCAGTTGGAAGGGTGGCTGTCCCTGGATCACCTTCATCCAGCCCTTGGTTTCTTGCAGCCTCGCGCAGCCCTGGATTCACGCACGGGAAGGCTCGTCGCGCGACGTTTCAAAGGAGCGCTAAAGATGCCAGGATCTCCGGGATCAAATCAGTAGCGTTGATCAGAGGTGCCAATCGTGGATTGTTTTTTGTTTTGGTGACTGTGTATTGTGTATTGTGTTTTGGAGTTCTATTCGCAACTGCCAGGCTTTTGGACGAGGACACCTTGTGCTTGACGCTACTAGGAGCAAGGACGCTACTAGGGGCTCCTGGCCTTACTACTAGGAACAAGGACATGTTTGTATTTTCCGCGCTCTAGCAAGATTAACATGTTCACAGGAGACCACCCAAAGGGGTCAACACCAGAAAATTGGTGTATCCCTATGGATCCACATACCTTCTGAGAAGGTGATTGGAGACTATTTATGTCGTCTTGGAGGGTCCAATTACCTTCTGAGAAGGTATGTGGATCCACAGGGTATTGTACTAATTAATAGGGCTCCCATCCCATGGTTTGTTTCACTTTCCATTATTTATTACCCAAGGCCAGGGGGGGCGATCTCTGTTTTTCATCCCATTCCACGCAGTCCCACATCTTGGGAACCGGTCCGATCCACGGTGTTTGCGCCAGTCAAACCGGGCGCCAGACATGGCCGGCGGCCAGAGAGTTGGTCTAACGACGTCAACCCGGAGCCCGTTGACGTCGTTTGGTTCAACCCGGAGCCTGGATATGCCTGGACGGTCAAAGATGTTCCTATAGCATTCATCGAATAGCAACCGTCCCATGAATGGAGAACACAAATGGATGGGTTTGACGGTATGATTTCCATGTCTCGGCTGTGAGGAACTCAACCTCCCCCCAGCAAACCCATGGAAACGCTTGACCTCCACAGACGAGGAATCGGTTGCCATGACGTGCCCGGGTACGTGCCATGACCAGCTTGGGTCGTCAAGGAACAAACTCATAGGACCTACACCCCGAACGCTTCGGAGCCGGATCGATGGAACGGTCTCCAAAAGCGAACCAGACGCCAGTCAGACAGGAATGATCCAACTCAGTGAAGTACATATTCTCACCATTTTGGGGCTCCGGCTCAAGCTAGTGGCACTATGGAATCTAATTAACTTCAACATCTGAGGGCATTGTTTGCATCGAAATACAACACTGTTCGAGTGTAGAGGCAGGACCCTAACCTTTTGACGGGGATTTCCATTGCGCGTCGCAAATATCTCTCCGTATGAAGGATGGGTTCCAGCGCAAGTCCCGAACTCAACGGCTGCTTGTCAGGGATACCAACCTGTCATGGAGGCTATAATTTGATCGTGTTTCATCGAATGCCATACAGTCTTTGGGATAAGACATTGCTGGGACCTGACATAGCATTGACTCTTGATGCATCGAAGCCCTCCCCAATTGAATTGACAATCATTGAAATCACATCTTCCATTATTATATTATAGGTTGCTTCATCGGCTCGATCTCGCCGGCAGGTACGCGTGGGAGTTTGGGACACGAACCAAACCGTTTCCGGAATGGATAAGACAGAGAGACCTTTTTAGGCGTTTCTGCCGCCCATGAGGGGTGTTGCCAGACCAGGCATAAGGAATGCAATTTCAATTCATGAAGGGCCTTTCTTGTGATCACAAACCAAGGAAATCTTGGAGCAGCTTTGTTGCCAGAGGTGAAACGCTCACAGAAGTTTCTTCAGCAGCTCTTGTTGATCTTGTTTAAGCAGAAGAGAGTGGATTTGCTTGTTTCGGCCTTCAAGGCTATCAGAGATGATGGCACCAGCTATAAGTTGAAAGTGTTTGATTACACCACTGGAATCTCACTCTGTGCGAGGGCAAAATGCTGGCAGCAAGCTTTGAAACTCTTCGACGAGATGGACACAGATCAGGTGCAGCGCAATGTCCTCAGCTACAATGCTGCCATTAGTGCATATGAGAAGGGTGGGCAATGGAAGCAAGCGTTGATGTTGCTTGACGCCATCTCCAAATCCAAACTGCAGCCAACTGCAATAAGCCACAATGCGGCCATCAGTGCTTGTGAGAAGGGCGGGCAATGGAGACAAGCATTGATGTTGCTGAATGCCATGGATCAGGAACTGGTGCAACCAGATGTCATCACCTGCAGTGCGGTCATCAGTGCTTGTGAAAAGGGCAGTCAGTGGCAGCAAGCATTAATGTTGTTTGAGGTCATGCCGAGATCCAACATTAAACCAGGTGTATTTATTTACAGCGCAGCCATCAGTGCATGTGCAGGGAGCGGTGACTGGCGGCAAGCATTGAACCTGTTTGAAGGCATGTCCCTGGCAAAAGTACCCCAGAACGTCATCAGCTTCAGTGCGACCATCAGTGCTTGCGAGAAGGGTGGGCAATGGCAGCGGGCAATTCATTTGTTTCAGGACATGCAAAAGGCCAAAATCAGATCAGATGTCATAATCTTCAATTCAGCCATCAGTGCGTGTCAGAAGGGTGGGCAATGGCAGCAGGCGTTCAACCTGTTTCAACGTATGTCCCAAGAACAAGTACTGCGCAATGTCATCAGCTACAGTGCAACCATCAGCGCTTGTGAGAAGGGCGAGCAATGGCAACAAGCTTTGGATTTGTTTGAAGCTATGCTTATGACCAGAGTGGAACCGAATGTCATCAGCTACAGTGCCACCATCAGTGCCTGTGAGAAGTGCGGGCAATGGGAGCAAGCATCGGTGTTACTCGAAGAGATGTCTATGGCCAAAGTTCCAGCAAATGATGTCAGCTATAATTCAGTGATCAGTGCTTGTGAGAAGGGCGGGCAATGGCAGGCAGCATTGAAGCTGTTGGAGGCCATGCCCAATTCAAGAGTATCGCTGGATGTCATCAGCTACAATGCTGCCATCAGCGCCTGTGAGAAGGGTGGTCAATGGCAGCAAGTTCTCAGGGTGTTCCACTCCATGTCTGAGGCTCAAGTCAAGAGACAAGCCATTAGCTGGAGTGCTACCATCAGTGCCTGCGACTCTCGACCGTACTTTGAGACATCGGTACTTGGACGTCTCTAGACATGGGGATCCCAGGATCGGATCACTTGCTTCATGCCTCCTCTGAATGACATGTGCCACCTCGATTGATGAAAATTCTCGTCTTAAGGATTGAAAGGCCACTGGTTTGGTGTTTTTTTTGGTTCACCAATTCAACCCATTGGAAGCACCCAAAGAAATGGCCAAGATTGAGTCAAAGAAGTGATTGAGCAGAGATGTCTCATACATCTTCCTTGAGCTTCCTATTGGGTGTTTACTTGTTTCCAACTCCTTGTTTCCCCTTTGGAACTCATTTAGGAGTTCTTAGGTTCTTCAAAAGCATACCAAGTCAAGCAATTATTTGGACATCCTGTCCATTGCCTTTGAGTTTGGGTTACTCGAATTTGTAAAGTACCATCATCCATTTCCTGTATTTCTCTTCAATCCCTATAGAAAGATTGAACATCCTTCTCCACAGCTAGAGTCATTCCTTTGCTTCGCTTCACAGGTGCATTTCACCAAAGTTCAGGCTTAGGGAAGTACAAGACGAAGAAACACGGCAGTCATCGTAGCGCGGGGTCTTTCCTTATCACCGGTACCGCCGGTCCCGACGTCTCTCCCCCCAGGCAGGGTTCCGAGGTCGTAACGACCGGGGCGACCGTGGTCGGATTTCGACTTAGACCATCAACTAAAAAGGCACATCGTGGACAGACCATCAACTCCTTCCAGTCCCACATTGAATCCCAAATCGCCCTGGGGCCCTGAATTTCGTTGACGGTTGGTTCCGGACAATGATGTCCGCTCATTGCATCGAAGAAGTTGCCGAACAACACTTCCCAGACACGACACATGGGACTGCCATAGGACTGCCGCCCCATTGACCCCCAGTCAACCACCCCAACTGATCGGCAGTCCTATGGCAGTCCCATGGGTCGTGTCTGGGCTTGTTAATAAGGGCTTTAGTAACATAAATATAGTATTGTTCTTTGATTTCACCAGATCCAAGGAGAAGAGTGGGCAATGGAAGATGGCCTTGAGTGTGTTTTCAGCCATGCTTGAGCTTCACGTGGAGGCATGTGTCATCAGCTACAGTGCAGCCATCAATGCTTGTGAAAAGGGCAAGCAGTTGCAGCAGGCCTTCAAGCTTTTTGACGCCGCCAATGAACGTGTCGTCAGAGATGACTTGCGGCGTTTTCTTTCACCTTCATGGGTTCCAAAAACGTAGCCTTTCAATTTCTGCGTTCGCTGCGTTCGCACCAGTGGTAGGTTACAGAACTCTCGGTCGACCCTGTTGAGCCGAAATTGCTGGCGCCTGAGCCTCAGAGCCTCGGCCTGTCGCACCACCCCGGTGTCGTCACAACTGGCTGTCAGGCCCAAAAGTGACTGCACAGCGAGGTGCAAAGCCTCGTTTTGGATCTCTGTGCTGCTCAGCCACTTTGGGCTACAGCAAGTTCTGGGCTATTTTTTGAGTTGCGCAGGAAACTGGTGTAGCGAAAGGTTTCTTTTGCGCTGTTGAAGAGTGAACTTGTATTTGGCTGCTGTTGATGGGCTAGTTTGTCCCACTGGGGAGAACTTCTTTGAGGAATCTAGCCGAAGGAATTTGCTCCCGAGCCGAAGTTTCACTCTTCGTAGCCAGCCATCGCCTGCAGCCTCGCTGGCCCACCAGAA